TACTGACTAAGGGGTTGGGCAGAGAGGCACACGAGTACCTGAGTCAGAGGATAACAGGCAGGCAGAACTTGTTATGAAGTGTTTATCTCGCTTGTGTGGTTTTAGCCACTTGCTTGAGGTTGCACTGGAGCACTCCTTCGCTTCTCTCCGATGGTGATGTCCGCTATCTGGATCTGCGGCTTCACTATGCTTCTCTTGTCCTTGCGCCCCTCTGATGGCCTTGGACGCGTTTCTTTCTGATCTTTCTTCTTGCGAAGGGCTCCTATGTGCAGATCTCAAGGTGGCGAAGACCTCACGCGCGGAGTTTCAGTTATAGTTTTATGGAGATTCATGTCCTAACTCTGCACCGACTTGAGAGGGGGTGTCAGAAGTGCAAGTCGGTCCAGGGTTTAGGGTCTAGGGTTCATAGACCGACGATCCACTGATCTGTGAGACAGGACGGCTGTTGAGTCTTTGTCCGTTCCATGAGACAGGCCATGGCGGACAGGACGTCAGACAGAATGGACTGACGCATACTACATGTCCTACGTGGACTCTCCACAAAATCCACAGACCTTACGTTGCATTGACTTAATCCTTTATCCGGGACTGACCGCCCGGCAGATCCTCTCTTCACCATTCTCCCCGACTCTCTCCCACCTATTCTTACAGGGGATGCGGCAGTAATGGAGCCTGCTGTTCGAATAAGTGAGGGAGGGAAGGGGGAGAGACATGCTGATGCGTGTGTGGACACCTGTACGTGTGTGCGCAGCTGTGTGCTTCGCGAGTGCCGTAGGCCCGGTCATCTGCAGCATGTTGGCGACCGATGTAAATACCACAACGACTGCCATTCCCATTACTGCAAAAATGGCTATTGTGAGCACTGACCACAGACACACACACACCCAGAACATACGGATGATCGATGAACGGGGTATAATGTGGGCATCATACCTCCGTCCCTCCCTCCTGTGTGATGTGTGTCGTGTGCAGGCGCTCGCAGAGATGGAGGAGGTGGTGGTGGTGGTGATTGCATTAGGACCGGCGGGCATGGATGCGACAGTAATGGAGCCTGCTGTTCGAAAAAGTGAGGGAGGGAAGGGGAAGAGACATGGTGATGCGTGTGTGGACACCTGTACGTGTGTGCGCAGCTGTGTTCTTCGCGAGTGCCGTAGGCCCGGTCATCTGCAGCATATTGGCGACCGATGTGCATACAACAACGACTGCCATTCCCATTACTGCAAAAATGGCTATTGTGAGCACCCAAATGCACACCCACGCCACAGGTATCATCCTTACCTCCCTTGTGTGATGTGTGTCGTGTGCAGGCGCTCGTCGAAACTAGGCGTCCAATTCAGACAGACACTGCAAGTTGTGTGCCGTTGTTTGTACATGTGAGTTGTATGTCGTTATTTGTAGGTTAGTGAAACTAGGCGTCCAATTCAGACAGACACTGCAAGTTGTGTGCCGTTGTTTGTACGTGTGAGTTGTATGTCGTATATTTGTAGGTTAGTGTGCATTCACACATTTGCCTTGAGTTCCTCACTATGCCATGTCGTCGTGTTGTGTGGCTTTACTGACAATCAGTGTGATCATCTGACCTACATGGAGGGGCGACTGAGCCCTCTGCTCTCACCAAGAGAGAGAGAGAGAGAGAGAGCGAGGAGGGAGAAGCTGTGGTGTCCACAGGACACAAGCCTTACACACATCACGACACACATGGTCCAATCAGTTATTTTTTCATGATGCCGAACTGACTTGGCAGAGTTATTTGTCTCGCTGTCTTTCTCCTGGTGCATTCGTCTCTGTCTGCCAAGTCCACACACGGCGCACATGTGATTTTCTCTCTTCGTTCTGTGGCACTGACCTACGGTCAATTTGTCAAGTCGGTCAGGCAGCTGTGTGCGTGTTGCGTTGTGTTTCGCTGTTTGCATTGCCGCCGAAAAAAGGGGCGCGCTGCAATCGAAGCCGATCTCTCACGACGTACGTGCAGCTAGGCTGGCCAGGGATGGGAAAGGGGGGG